AGACTCAGCTCAAAGTGCTATTTTCTGTAGGAGGCCTTTTCCGGTTCCCTTGCTGCTAATGTCTTCCTGCCAAGGTAGTCAAAGCTTTTGTTTTTGATGTCCATGTGTATGTGCATATTGCCTTCTTGGTTAAAATGTAAGCTCCTTGAAGGGAGGAACCATTTATGCTTTTTCTTTATATCCCCAGCACCTACTACAATACCTGGCACACAGTAGGTGCTTAACACTAGTTAATTGACTGATGATCTTCCTTATGCTTTTTCTTGATATCCCCAGTACTTAGTACAATGCCTGGCACACAGCAGTGCTTAATAAATGTTTGCTAATTGATTGATAATCTTCCTCAGTTCTTATGTAATTTTAAGTAAATTATTTTTAAATTTTAAAAAATTGCTGAGTTTTAAATTTTAAATTCTAAAAATTAGACTATTAGAAAACATGGTTTTAGGAGGGAAAACATTTGTAATATACATACGGAAGAAAATCTCTCCTAAAATGCCACAGCATTCTTACTATTACTATTACAAATACATTTAAAAGTTCCAGCCAATACTCCAGAACAGTGTCATCAAACTGAAATAAAAACAGGGACCACTAAACCATATATGAGGATGCGTACAGGCCACATATTGACTTAGAAACCATACATGCTTATATATTTCTTTTTTGTTGTTGTTAATACATCAACATGTTAAAATTAGATAGGAACTACATTTTAATCTGACTTGGGCCTCACTTGGAGTGTTGTGGCTGGTGGTGTGTTTTATATCCCTACTCCAGAATAAACATTTTGTCAACAAAATGTTGACAAAACAGTAAGCACTTATTAAATGCTTACTAGGTGCCAGGCATTGTGCTCAATACTGGGTATACAAAGAAAAAACAAAAATAGCAACTGCAATCAAAAAGAAAATTGTTCATAAAGAATAAGCCAGAGGGGCAGCTAGGTAGTGCAGTGCATAGAGTACCAGCCCTGGAGTCAGGAGAACCTGAGTTCAAATCTGGCCTCAGACACTTGACATTTACTAGCTGTGTGATCCTGGGCAAGTCACTTAACCCCAATTGCCTAAAAAGAAAAAAGCTGGGCAGTTTTTTGATGAAGAAATCAAAACTATATATAGTCACATGAAAAAGTGCTCTAAATCATTATTAAATAGAGAACTACAAATGAAAAAAACTTTGAGATATCATCTCACACTATTAGTTTGGCTAAAACAATAGGGGAAAATTACAAATGTTGGAGGGGATGTAGAAAAAATGGGACAATAATATACTGTTGGTGAATTGATCCAACCATTTTGGAGAGCAATCTGGAATTATGCTCAAAGGGTTATAAAACTATGTCTACCCTTTGACCCAGCCATTCGACTATTAGGTCTGTTTCCCAAGATGACCAGGGAAAAAAGGAAAAGAAATTATATATTCTAAAACATTTATAGCAGCTCTCTACGGTGGCAAAGAACTGGAAATTGAGGAGATGTCCATCATTAGGGAATGGCTAAACAAGCTAGGGTGTATGATTGTGATGAAATACTACTGTGCTATAAAGAAGTGATGAGCTGGCTGATTTTAGGGGAAAAAAACATGGAAAGACTTGTATGAAATAATGAAGAGTGAAATGAGCAGAACCAAGAGAACATCGTGCACATTAATAGCAATATCATTCAGAGAACAATTGTGAACAATCAAGTTATTCTAAGCATTATAAATACTCAAATCAACTACAAAGGACCTATGAAGGAAGATGCTATCTACCTCCAGAGAAAGAACTGATAAATAGAAGTATGCATAGTATGGTTTCACATACACATGTGTGTATGTATATATATATATATGTATGTATGTATGTGTGTGTGTATATATAATATATGTATAATATATATTTTATATATATCAGATGGCTAGAATGGGGTGGGGAGAGAGGGAAGGAGAAAGTTTGGAACTTTAAATGTAACCAAAAAAAATTAAAAAAAAATAAGCCAGTATATATAATAAATATATTCTCAAGTGAAGCCCAAACCATTCTAAAATGTAGTTCCTATCTGATTTTAATGTGTTGAGGTATTAACTTAAAAAAAGAAATACATCAACATCTGTGGTTTTCTAAGTCAATATGAGGATCTTTACATATAGTTTAATGGCACCTCTTTCTAGCTGAGTTTGATGCTGTTGTTCTGGAGTATTACAGTTATCTTCTATGATGAAAAATACCTGATTTTGTAACATTTCACATAGGCTTATGTTTAAAGACGATGTTCTGTAGGCAAGGACTTCAAAATCCTGCCACTTTCCCATTTGGGGTCAGGATACTTTTTTTCACCTGTTCCCCACTAGGTGCCCACAGTTTTCTTATGCTGCTCCCTCATTGACCAAGGTAGCTCTTCCTTCCTTTCCCTCAACCTACCCTGCCCTCAGTGTTCCTTTCTGTAAAATTATCTACTTCTTTGAGTTACATCAAAATTCCAGTTTCCTGAGTATCCTCTTCCTAGCTATAGGCCAATTACAAAGTTTATATGGTAAATATATTCATGTCAGTATGTTAACAGCTGATAGGAATTTAATGAGCATCCATTCCTAAGAGTATTTGCATTTTAAAGGAGGATATATTAGTTATCACGGCACAGCAGTGTTGAGCTTGAAGTCCCAGACTTAAGTCAGAATCCCAGCTCTGTAACTTACTGCATGTGTGTAACTTACTTAATACCTCTCTGGGTCTCTGCTGCCTCATCTATAAAATGAAGGGTTGAAATGGATGACCTGAAGGTTCCCTTCCAACTTCCAATCCAAGACACTATAGATCCAAAGGAATGGTTCTCTAATGGTGGAATTTCAGGCCTCATGAAGGCCAAGAGAAGAGTAAGCTTTTCCAGGGTATATTTCCCCCTAGTCTTTTAAAACTCACCATTTTTTTTTTTTTTTGTTTATCAGAAGGCCATATCTGCTACTGAGCACCCAGTGATAGCTAACATTTATACAGCACTTTAAGGTTCTGCAAAGTCACACACACACATATAATCACTATATATAAAACTTTATAAATATATCATCTCTTATATAAAATATTTTATAACACTTTTGTATATATCTCATATATATTTATATTTATATCTATATCTATACATATGTATAATATGTCTATATCTATCTATCATCTTATTTGGTCCTCACAAGAACCTTGGGAGGTAGGTGCTATTAATATCTCTATTTTATGGACAAGGCAACTGAGGCAAACAGAGGTGAAGTGACTTGCTCAGGGTCACATGACTAGAAATATAAGAGGCAGAATTCAAACTTGGATCTTCTGGGCTCCCAGTCGTCTGGTTTCCACATATTGTGTGATTTTATTTATTTTTTTTCTTTTAGAGATGAGATATTTGTGCTGATAGGTCCAGTCTCCCCCTTGAGATTCTGGCCATGTATTAGCAAGATGAAGATAGAACAAAGTAACTGACCTTCAAGACAATCAGGCTAATAACCTTTGTCTCACTTATATAGTGGACTAGCAAACTGAGCTAACTGGTCCCAGAGGATGGCAGAAACTTCCTCACAATCCTGGCTGACAAGGCAAAGGCTCATTATTCAGGTTAGGAGATCTTCAGAGTGGCTTGCACCAAATGTTTATTGGTCAATCTTAGCCTGGGATCAGCATGACACAGGGGACAGGACACATCCCACTTGGAGTCAGAAGACCTAGGTCCTGGCTTGCTCATTTCTAGCCTTGTGTCTAAGCCCTATGACTCAACCTGACCAAACCTGTTTCCTCCCTCTCATATAAAAGAGAAAATAAGCTTTCCATGGTCTACTTCACAGAGATGTTGAAAGGAAAGAGCTTTCTTGGTCTATTTCTTGTTGTTCAGTCATTTTGCAGTTGTATCCTACTCTTTGTGATCCCATTTGGGGTTTTCGTGGCAAAGTGGCTTGCTATGTCCTTCTCCAGCTCATTTTACAGATGAAGAAACTGAAGCATACAAGGTTAAATGACTCACCCAAGGTCACACAGTTAATGAGTGTCTGAGGCCAAGTATGAGGTCAGGAAGATGAGTCTTCCTGACTCCAGGCTGGGTGCTCTATCCACTTTTGTTAGTCTTAGCACACTATATAAATTTGCCTAATTTTTATTAAAAACAAATTGTAAATCATAGCATACATGTGAGCTGTTGTTATACTTTAAGCAAGGAGGATACACTTTTCCCCTGTCTCCAAGGAGTTACCACCTGAGTAATTACTCCGTAAAGGCATAGGCAGGAGTCATAATTGCACCATTATT